GGACTTAATGCTAACGGCATTCTCTCCCAGTCAACCTTTAGGAAAAACGATAAACGCGATGGCGGCATTAATAAAAGATTAACTATGCATAGAATATAGAAATAGAAACTGACTAAAAATATATATATATATATATATATATATACATACAACTACATATATACACACAATAGCACAAATATAGATACATAATACTGATGATGAATTTCACATATTTTTTATAAGAAAGGCATGAGCTTTACGTTTAAAAATAAATTTATTGGGAGATCTTCTGATGGGGTCAGGGAGACTATTCCACAGTCGTATGGCTTGGAGGGTAAAAGAGTCGAACATAAAGCCGGAATGTGAGAGTGTGTTAGAAGAACGGAGTTGTCGATCATGCGAATCGCAAAGATTCTGGAATTAACATTTTAAGTAATCAGGAGAATGTGGATTGGAGAGAATAGAAAAGAGTGTGCAGAGCAGACGTAGCTGTCTCCGCTGACGTACGGGGAGCCATTTAAGCTGCGACCGATAGCAAGAAACATGATCATATTTCCGAAGGCAGAAGACGAAGCGGATGGCATTGTTGATAAGATGGTCCAACTTATTCAGTAGATCCTCATTTAAGTCAGAGTAACAGACATCCGCATAATCAATGAGTGGTAGAATAAGGGAGGCAGCAAGAGTGACCTTAGTTTTAATAGGCAGAAAACTTCTGAAACGATTAAGGGAACGCAATGAGTAAGTAACAGCACGACTAACCTCCGCCACCTGTGTTGTCCATTTCAGCTCCGAATCAATATGAAGGCCGAGATTCTTGACACTAGAGCTAAAGGGTATTATAGAGCTTTCAAACACTACAGGCGGGAGCAAGCCGGTATCCAACTTAGAAAGCTGTTTGGAGCTCCCAACGACAATAGCCTGGCATTTCCTTGGGTTAACGGAAATTCCAAAATGAGACGACCATTCGCTGATATTAGATAGATCATTATTCAGCTTAGAAATGCCCGACCTAATTTCCTCCGTCGTGGTTTGTACATATATCTGTAGATCATCTGCATAGAAATGATAAGAGCAACCAAGCGAGAAAGAGAGGTAATTTATAAATATGGAGAATAGTAAAGGAGAAAGAATCCCCCCCTGAGGGACACCAGAAGTCAGATCGTTCCAAGTAGATAATTCACGATCCTTCCGTACAGCCTGCTGACGCCCACGAAGATAAGCAGAGAACCAATCCAATGTCAACGATGACAGACAAAGAGACTTAAGAACGGCCAACAGAAGGTCATGGTCAACCATATTGAAAGCATTGGAGAAGTCTATAAGAACAATGATAGTGACCAATTGCCTTTCCATGCCAATCCTAATGTCCTCGGTGACTTTCAGAAGAGCAGTAGTTGTACTATGTCCGGCGCGGAAGCCGGATTGGAAAGGAGTGAGAAGGGATTTGGAGTGAATAAATTTCGATAACTGTTTATGGGCTGCGGCTTCTAGGATTTTGGATAGAAAAGGAAGGATTGATATAGGCCTAAAGTCATTTAGTTGTTTTGGAGAGGAGATTTTAGGAAGGGGAATAACATATGCTTTACGCCAAATCAGGGGAAATTCACCAACGGTAAAAGAGAAGTTGACGATGTGAACAATAACCTGAAGAATATTATCTAAAATGTTGAGAATCATGTCTCTGCTCACATCGTCACATCCCACAGCCTTTGACTTAATAGAGATGATAATCTTTCGTATATCATCAGTTGACATTGGAGAAAAGGAAAATGATTCAGAGTGAAGTTGAGCCTTGGAAGCAATTTTATTAATAGTAGTCGATTTGGTATAAGAATCTAAAGAAGAGGTAGAAGAAAAATGATTATTGAAGTCGTTAAGTGAAAAGGGGTAAGACTGGGGCTGTGAGGATGATTTTCCCAAACCCTGAGAACGTAAAAACTTCCAAATATTGGCTGACGAACAATTAGAGATGTTTTCATGGAAATAATGTCGCTTCGCTGCTCTCACCATCCGATTGCATCGATTGCGCGCAATCTTATAGAGACCCCAATTCTCCTCCGTCCTGTCGCGCTTGAAAGCACGGAAAGCCCGATCTCTTCTTGACATGGCCATACGAACACCTCTACTAATCCACGGAGCAGGCAGCCGCTTCAGTCTGACAGCTCTTAATGGAGCATGTGTATCGTATAAATTAAGTAAACATCTATTAAAGATAGCGACCTTCATATCGATCGAAGCAGAATCAAATATAGAAGAAAAGTCAAGCTTAGCAGCATCCTCACTCAATTTGTCATGGTCAAGTCGAGCGAAATTACGCATCCAGACTGTGACAGGTTTTGGCTTAGGTGGTTTTAACCTGTATGCAAGAAAAATAAGGTCATGTTTGGAGAATCCTGGTGGCCTGCACCAGGATTCTCCGTGCTTTATTACACCGTCGGGGGTAGTTATGATTAGGTCAAGCCATGTGTCACGTGAAGACGGATTGTGATGAGTCGGCTCAGAAGGCAAAATTGATAAATCGACAGACTTGACGATATCCAATAATTTATCTGTGTGAGAAGTCTTACAAGAAAGATCAGTATTAAAGTCACCCATGACTATGAGATGCCTGTAGTCCGCACACAGAGGTTCAAGAATGGATTCAAGATGGGCAAAGTAATCGACAGTAGGTGGACAATAAACGACTGCAAGAATAGCACCAACACTCCCTACAGAAACTTCCAAAAAAATATACTCAGCAGAACAAGAATAAGTCGAGGGTGATGATGCTAGAATCTTGTGAGTTATATCACTGCGCAAGTATACAGCGACACCCCCACCACGCCTACCAATGCGGTCGTTACGGATCAACGTATACCCAGGTAGAGAATAAGATAAAGAAGAAAGACATGGCTTGAGCCAACTTTCAGAGACTAAAATAGCGTGAATGTTATGTGAGGAAAAAGTGTCGAGAAAGTCGGAGTAATGAGAGGGTATACTTTGAGCGTTTATATGACATACATTGAAACCATGGGGAATGCACTGAAAAACACCGCGGAGTTGAGAACCTAAGGTCTCAGGTTGAGATTGCGAAGAAAAACTATCAGAAGAGGAAAAACTGACATTACAAGCTGAATAAAAAGATTCATCATCAGACATAACAAAATATTAATATATAAATACAAATAAAATATTTATAAATATATAAATAGCAATATATAATAAAGTACTAGTACAAAATTAACAACATTGTCATCTGTCCTGTCGGTTGACGAGAAAGAACGAATAAGTAAAATGCATTGAGATACAAAATAATTAATTAGAATATAAGCCAAATAGTAGGAAGCCAGAGCGATTAATAAAACATACTTTAAATAGATTTGGCTGTATGGGTCAGACCCTTTGTTTAAGATAAAAGTAAAAAAGTGTTCTATTATACTGACATAACAATGACGTGACGATAAATAACAAACACAAAACTAGAAATGTTTGCATTAGTATTAACTATAAGAAAAATAAACAAGAAATCTGTTAATTATACTAAAACAATATATGATAATAAAACAATTGAAGGGCCTACCAGTAAAACAAGAGTAACTTTTTCGCCCTGGCTAACCGTTTAGGTTTCGCGCGTGTTTCTGGAGAAACCAAGGTCCGCGTCACGAAGTCAGGATCAGCCGCCTGGAGAAGTTCATCCTCGGTTACCGGAAGCGCAGAGAGGTCACAGTCGGTGAATATTCTCTGCCTGGAACCGTTCTTCAGCTTGACAATGACGTTACCATCCATCGTCCAGCAGCGTCTTATGCCGAAGCGCTTACGTGCGTTAATGAAGACGTCTCGTCGCTGGCGTGTAAGGAATTCGGAGATGGTATGAGGTGTTCCCTTTAAAGCTGTCTTCTTTTTCCATACAGCAGCCCTCAAAGTTAGATCTGTGAAGCGCACCAGGACAGGTCGACATCTCCCCTCCGCCGCATTACCAAGTCGATGGCATGCAGACAGCTTGTCCTGTGACAAAGCCAGCCCCATTTTGTTGACGAAAATAGAGACAATACTTTTTGGAAGGTCATTGGAATCCTCTGCAACGCCACTCACCAACAAGTACTTCCTTCGATGTCTCATTTCGATGTCATCTATGCATCTGCAGAGCCCAGAAATTTGATAACGAAGAAGCTGTAACACTGATAATGTCTCTGTTTTGAATTCCTGGAATTCTTCCTGCAAACGAGCATGTGATCCATCAGCCTGTGCAGGGGTTACTTTCCACCGTTGTTCCAACTCGTTCATTTTCTTAAACAATTTATGTAGTTTCAAGAGCGTGTTGTGTCTCCAAAACTGCTGCGATATTTGCCATTTCTAATATATCCGTTGAGGTGAAAGTGAGTGACCGACAGGACAGTACTTCAAAACACAACTAATCCCACATATATCACACAGATAACACTAGATAGTGATTGGTGTCTAACATACTATAGAATAACGTTATTTATTATTAAATGGAGCAATTGTAAGTATTTTTCAGAAATTTTTTTATAGGAGAACAATCTTAATGCTTTTTACACCTACCGCCGAATTAAAATTTTAGTTTAGTAGTAATTACCTGATTACAATAGTTTTTTGTTGTGTAATATCTAGTTACACTTAATTAATTCAATTAATTAACTGAAAGGCTTTCATCGAATGTAGTCTGTTTCATCTTTCACGGATATTTACTACTTAAATAGTTAAGTACTTACGTAAGGGATATCCTTCGTGTTGAAGGCTTTGGATGAGCTGATATTTAACATATTGTATTTGTATGTTATACTCTCATCATTATTTCTTTTTTTATTTGATATAGTTTGTTAGGAAATTTTGATTCTGTTGTTAGGGTTCATTTCATAGTTCTAAATTACATAAAGACTATTACTGTTTGAGTTTTAATTTATTGTCGCATTGTCGTATCCACATTGTGTATGTTGTGTTCGACTTAATTTGGAGCTTAATGAATGTAGTTGAAGAAATATTTATCTACAATTTTTTTTTTATTCAGGTACGTAATGGCATTTACGGGTCCTATTTGGGAATACTTTTCAAAAAACAATGATATTGATAAAGCAACTTGTAAAATATGTAACAAGTCTTTGTCTCTTGGTAGTGCCTTACAGAAAAAACAAACTACAACTAATATTAAGAATCATTTGGCAAAACTTCATGAAAGTGAATGGGCAGCTTATTGTAAGATAAATGAAGATCGCCAGAGCTTGATGAAAAAAATGTCGGAGTTTCATGACTCTTCGCTAAGTAAAAAGAAAGACAAAAACAATGTCAAACTACTTTACCAGAAATCATTGAAAAAAAAAGTAGCACCACCGTGGCCTGATAATCATCCTATATCATTACGTATCGATAAAAGTATTATGGACTTCATAATCGTCGACATGCTGCCATACAACCTTGTTGAAGGAAAAGCATTTCAAAGGCTCCATCTGAATGACCCTGACATTCCGTCCAGATATAGGAAAAAGTCTGAGAAATACTTTAGAACGACTTTAATGCCGCTGACGTACGAAAAAGTAAAAGATAAAGTCGTACTTCTTCTACAAAAAGCTGAATGGGTCAGTTTTACTACTGACATTTGAAGTAATCCAGCAAAGACCTGTTCTTTGTTAAGTTGCTCAGCCCACTTCATTAATGGTCCAAAAAGAGAAAAAGTTATACTAGCAGCTAGTGTCCTGGAAGAAGATCATACATGCCAGTATATTTCAGCGAAACTTAACGAAATTATTGCTGAATTTAATTTAACAACAAAAGTCCACATGGTTGTCCGCGACAATGCTTACAATATGCAGACGGCTATGCGTTGTGGTAACTTTCTGTCTATTGGATGTGTAGCTCATACGCTCCAGCTTGTTATTCATGATGTTATATTCAAAGACGCTGCTTCTATGAATTTGATAAAGAAATGTCGCAAAGTCGTTGGTCATTTTAAAAGAAGCGAACAAGCTTCTCGATATTTAGAAAGGTTTCAAGAAACATGCGGCTTACTCAGACACGTTTTGATTCAAGATATCGAAACCTGGTGGAACAGCACTTATTTAATGTTAGAAAGACTCTTATAACAAAAAACTGCAATCAACTTATATATGGCAGAACGCGGTGGAATAGAAGTCCCAACTGCCGAAGAATGGGAACAAATAAACTATTATATAGCAATACTCAGGTGCTTTTATCAAGCCACACTTGATATTTCGAGCGATTCTTCTTCGATATCTTTGATAATACCATTAATCGTCATGCTTAATTCAAAGATGACTACAAAAGATGAAGATCCTGAAAAAGTAATACTGCTGAAGATCCAGTTACGTGATTTTATTCACAGGAGATTTTCTTACTTAAAAAATACTCCACATTTGATGATTGCCACTCTAATAGATCCCCGATTTAAATCGAAGTATTTGACCAACGATGAAACTGAAAATACAAAGACTGAAATATTATCATTTCTACGACAAACTGGGTCTCGGTCACGATCAGCAGCTATTATGGACGTAGATGTTGATGAACCTAGACCTTCTTGTTCAAATTCAGATCCAGCTACCGAAGGGGTATTCACAAAAAAAAAGATGATGACTTGTGGGATTCGCATGATAATCTTGCATCATCTGTCACAATTACAAGTGAAAATGAGTTGGGTTTGGATCATCCTGGTCCCCCTTTTCAAGAGCATCTTACATGTTTTTTAGAAGAACTATTACTTCTGAGGAATGCTGACATTTATGAATATTGGTCTTCTAGTCCTTATACTTATCTACGGCCAATGAAGAATGTTAACAATTTTTATTTATTAGCACTCCATATTCTCTGTCAAAAATAAAAAATACTAGTGAAAGAATTACTTCGATACGACAATTAGTTTCCGATTTAGAAGTAAAACAAGTTGTAACCGCACGACGCAGGCTGCCGGTGACGGTGTGACGTCATTGCACAACACGCACAGTCTGGCTCACTTAGTCCGCTCGCAGTCGCGCGCCCGTGCCGTCAAAATTTTACCTAAATACTTTTAAAAATGTCCAATCCAAATACTAGTAAATCATGTGTTGTGTCTAAATGTAAAAATACAACTACTTACTCGCCGGGAAAGTTTTTTTTTATAGATATCTTTTCAACCTCTTCTTTTTTTCACATATAAAATGTGAAAGAGAACACTGTATTTGAAGCTCTCTAAGTTTTAATGCTACTTTGTCAAAAAAACATTTTTCATTCTGACCGGCTAAATGAAGTATTATACCACTTGTGCCAAAATCTTTAGCTTTAATCATTTTCAGTGTGATACCAACACCTGAGAGCTTAGATTTTTTTCAATAACACTTGGTAGCAGTCTTTGAAGGCTCTTCGCTTCGACGATGTAGCCACATTAAAAATGCTACAGTATGTTTACAGCCACCTCTGCTGGCGGCACAATCTTCGCAGGTTACATTTAATACTTCTTGATCCTTTTCATTGCATTCTAAACTGCAATGATAAGGTGTGGTACGTTCGCGGTCTTCTGGCGTGATGCTACATTTAACCGTACATACATCACCTACTCTTTTAACTTGAACATAACCAATAGCATCATTGCCACAGCTGTTTCTTGCCGATCTGAAATAAGTTTCAAATAAAAATAAATAGCCTTAAGTATTTTGTTAGTAAAAAAATACTAATAAATAAATAAGGTTTAGTATATCTGTTCAAACTTCTATATTTGCAACAAAAAAATAATTTAATAAAATGGCCTTAAGTATTTTGTTAGTAAAAAAATACTAATAAATAAAAAAGGTTTAGTACATCTGTTCAAACTTCTATATTTGCAACAAAAAAATAATTTAATAAAATGGCCTTACGTATTTTGTTACTAAAAAAATATACAAATAAAAAAAGGTTTAGAACATCTGTAACGTTTAACCCACTACATCTACATCCTAGGTACCTATCCTACTTCCTACTTATATTATAAATGCGAAAGTTTGTGTGTGTGTTTGTTTGTTATCTTTCACTGGACGAAGTCTGTAATAATAACACATAGGCTACTTTTAATCCTGGGAAAATGTACAGCTCCCGAGGGAATCGTGGGCGAAGCTGCTGGCGGAAGCTAGTTTGCCATAAATCAATGTATGTATTTATTTAAATTTACTAAGAGCGGTACCTATATATACATACGTACCTACCTATAGCTACAAAACTATAATACATATTTGTCTTTAACGTAAAAATTTAATGGTAGGTAGGTACTTCTACTATTTGAGTTGTATTCTTCCATTACGACATTAGTTGCGTATTTTGTTTTGATAAAACAATTAAGAACAGATAAACTATTAAGCATCAATAGTAGCAAGGAAAGTTTACTTACCTATGCATTTTTATTCCTCGCATTTCGGCGGCAACGAAATTACTATTTGTTATTAAATAATGCGCAACTTTTAATCCATCTATTTTAGGTAAATTATCCGATTGCCCTTTTTCGAATCCTTTGTCTATTTTATTCATCGAATAATATTTAATATTATTACACTATTAACTTAATACACGGGCGAAAACACAAAAAAATACTGCGCAAGCTATTATATCTACTATAACCGCTGGCGACTTGATACTAAGCGGGGCGCGGCGCGTTGTGACATGACGTCACAAGCGGTCACGTGGCTGTTAGCGGGATTCGATATTTTTCGAAACTTTGAATGCATATAAAATCAAAATTACTAGGTATTTTTGACTACAACAAAAACTAGTGTATTTGTATACATAAGGGCTTTATTGAGACAAAATTTCAAGCGATTTGGCATACCTAGTAACATTCTTCATTGCAATTAAATACTTATCTGCTCTTCCCAGCAGTGTTCCTAGTGAGCAATTGTTCAGTGCTGCAGGACAAATATATGCGGACCGACGATCTAACTTGATTGGTGAAAATGTAGATAAATTATTATTTTTAGCATACAACATAAGGCTGTTTAACTTTGATTACTAATACATATATTTAATTAATACATATCGTCAATGAACGAAGAATTTTGATGATTACTATGTGATTTTTATTGTAATCAATGTAGCTTTAGTTAAAAAGTTCTTGAGAGAGAAGGTTAAGTACAAATATGCTTAGTAAAATATAATATATATTATTCTTATAACTTGTTGTTTGCAAAATAGTCATTACCTCATTAGTTTGATGATTAGTTCTATTGTTATTGTTACATTTTCTAATATTTTCTAAACTGTGCATTTAATTGGCCAACATTTAATTATTTATTAAGAAGTTAGTGTTTGTTTATTTTATTTATTAGTCTAGTTTCGGTCTAGTTGAGTAAAACAAAGACTGATTGATTGGTCTAATTGTAATTTGTGAATTACTTAATAAAGAAATGATTGTTTTTTACAAATAAATAACAAAATCAAGAACTTTTATTACCATCTCTAAATCAACTTCTATATCATTATTCTATTCTATGAGACAGTCAATATAAACCTTCAATATTGAAGTTTTAAAATGATTTTAATATTAATTGTAGCTTGTAGATAAAATTGAACACAATTAATTACTGAGAATTTATAAACCTTCGGCTTCGGCTTCGGCTTCTGCCGAAGGTTGTGGCTATTGCCGATTAATCGGCTTCGGCTTCGGCTTCGGCCAAAAATAGACCTTCGGTCGGACACTATTCCTATATAAGATACCCACTACATCTTTCAGTAATTTTTTTTCTTCTCATTCCTATAATAACGAAAATTAAAGGTGGTTTATCACGTTGGCGCCATTTTGATGTAGGTAAACAAAAGATAGTTACCAGTAATTTTCTTTTCTGTTTTGCATACCTTACAAAGTTTTAGTTCTATGTTGCTATTAATTTTAGTATAGTTTTAGGGCAAGCAAAACAAAAAAATTATTATTTGATATTTTGAAATAATACTATGGATTGAAATTTAAACTTTAAATTTAATTTGAATATTTGGAAATTAAAGTTAGTTAAGATTTTTGTTATAAACAGAGTTTAATTTGTTTTAGATAAATAAAATGGAGCGTAAATAATCGTAAATGATCTTCAATCTAGTTCGGCTATATAAGCCGAACTAGATGAAATTAGAATTGATTGGGTCAAAATTAAAGGGAGCCAATCAGAAATTCGGAACTATTGCAGTCAAACATCATCACCTGACGTTGATGAGGTTAGTCAGTATACGTCCACCAAAATTCAAGCTCAAGATCTTGTTGCCGAGTTAGAATATCGAGTCAGGCGAAACATCAGAAACCAAAGTACTGTCGCTCCAAGCATACATAACATCAGTAGTAAATTACTACGGATTGAGTTAGCCAGATTTGATGGTGATGTTCTAAAATGGCACCGATTTTGGGACCAGTTTTCTTCTAATGTAGATAGTAGGAATATCAATGACGTTGACAAACTACTATACCTTCAGTCGGTTCTCGACGGTGACGCGAAGCAGACTATTGAAGGACTATTGAATGATAGCTAAGATGGAATACTATGGATTTAGTCACAGTACACTGCTTTGGTTTCAAAGTTATCTAACAAATAGAAAGCAATTTGTTAAGGTATCCACAAGCAATGGCAATACTCGTACATCAACACTTCAACATGTGATGAGA